CCCTGACGGGATTCGAACCCACGACCTTACGGTCGTGAGTCCGAGAGCCTAACCACTAGGCCACCGACGCCACATAATAATGTAATAACAGAGGCTGTTCTTAATGGACTGGACTGAATGTTGTTTAGTTTCATTTACATTTTTCTGCTTTCTTGTCCATGTGTCGCAGAAGTCTGTCAATGGTTGGACCACTCTTATAGATTCTAGTTAAGCATGCTTATTCCAAAGTGTAACGGTTTATCTCTTCGCCAATGCACACAGAAGACCTAATTTGAGTTCGATTCCTGTCTGGCTGTCTGGGGGGAAGGGGGGGGGTTGTCGATTCAAGTAACCCAGTCTTTCTGTTGAGACGTAGTATCCTTCTCTCTCAGCCCGGGTTGGCCCTTGCAGCCAGGGTCGTAGCCCGTCTCCTATTATGATCTAAATTGTGTCGATGGGGGCGCGAAAAAGCTTTGTAAATGCGGGTAGTTGGACGGCACAACAGGTAGGTCCTACTTCATTTTTTTCCCCTCTGTTGTTTCTGTCTCTTTTTTGCTGTTTTCCTGCACGAAATTACCGTTATCGTGTCGATGTGCTTCTCTTTGACTCAAACTCAAAACTCAGTGGGTGGCTGTTGGGTGTCCTGGTGTGGTTTGCTCCTTCTTTCCTATCAAATACCTAGGTGTATCGCCTTTATTTTTTCTCCTTTTATATGTGTAGTATGATACTATGTAGTAACACCTCTAATATATGGCATTTGTTTGTCCTAATTGTGTTGCAAGTACCGTAAAACGCTCACAAAAATCTAATCTTCGGTACTTAAAATACAATATGACCTTATTGTGTTGCAAGTAGAGCTGGGCGAAGAATCCAACCGATTCCCTCGATTAGTGCTACAGAAGAATAGTTCCGATTCCACTTTACGTAAACCAACGGTTACCAATTAAAAATGTATTTAAATTTTCTTACTATTAAAAAACAATTATTTTTGGGGGAGGGGGGGAAATGGATGCCTCACCGTGTTTCCAGATCGAGGTTATCCTGGACCCTAGCTGTTTGAAGCCGACCAGGAGACCGGAACTGGCCAGATGTTGGAATCGTCGGAAGTAATTGCTACTCGCCGAAAGTAATGTTGTAATCATCTAGGGGTCGGAACCATTTGAAGAAATCATGGGCACCCTGAAGAAATCATATCAGTGGAAAGAAATTAAGTTCGGACTCGATACCTACGATTCCTAGTTTGCAGTAATTGGGAACCGCCCATCACTAGTTACAAGTGCCGTAAACGCTTACTAAACTGGGATTTTTTTTTCTTAAATTGATCGTCGGCCCTTATTTAACCTAGTTGTGTTGCAAGTGCCGTAAAACGCTTACTAAAACTATTTCAAAAATGAATCATGGGCGCTTACTTTTCCCTAATTGTGTTGCAAGTGCCGTAAAACTGTGCCTTAAACTGGAAATAAACAAACTTGTATCATATTAGGGTGAGGTGGTGGAGCGGTTAGTGCGCTCGTCTCCAAAGCGGAAAGTCCAGGTTCGAGCCCCGGTTCGGACACGGATTTTTTTTCGCCCCCTCCTGCTCACCCAGCACTAATAGGTACCTGACTTCAATTTGGGGAAGTAAAGGCGGTGTGGAAAGGAACTGGCCACCCTACCGCAATATGCCGAAGGCCCAGGAAGTTGTCTCACTAACAAGGCAATCTCCAAAGTCCGGATCTGATGCGGGAACAACTGGCTGACTGGCTGAGGCTCCATTACGCCATCTGGCGTTTAGGGCAGCTACAAAGGATCTCCAGCTCTGCGGGAACAACTAAAAAAATCATATTACTATTTCTGTTCCTCAGGGTATCTGCGACAACAAGCTGGCCTTCCAGTGTTTCCGCCTGGCGCTCAGCCACAACAACGACCACGCCGAGGCCTATAACAACCTGGGGGTGCTGGAGCTGCGCAGAAACCACGTGGAGGCGGTACGTTGTGCCGTGCTCGTTTGTCAGTCTGTTTGTTTGTTTGTTTGTTTGTTTGTTAGTCTGCTTGTTTGTTCGTTTGCTTGTTTGTTTGGGTGTTTGCTTGTTTGTTTGCTTTTTTGTTTGTACCGGTGCGGCTCGGGTTTTGATCAGGGAGATTAATTTAGGATATTTTTATAATGATGATAATGATAATAATGATAATAATAATAATAATGATAATAATAATAATAATAATAATAATAGTAATAATAATAATGATAATAATAATAATAATAATAACAATGATAGTAATAATGATGATAATGATAATAATAGCAATAATGATAATAATAATGATAATAATATAATAATAATAATAATACTATATTATTGTTTGTTATCTATATCCATCCATTCATCCATCCTTAAGGGCTCTCTTGGTCTAGAGGTTACAATGTTAGTCTGCTTTAGACTCCCCTTTCTGCTCACCCCCCCCCCTCCCAAACCCTCCCCTTTGCCCCCGTCCTCTTGGCTCCAGACTCTTTCGGCAGGTTTTTTACTGCTACTCCTTGGCTCCTTCTTACTGCTGCTGTCTTTCAGCCACACTCCTAATCATATTTTAGGGAAGATCTAACACCTAACCTTCTCGGATAAGGGCGAAAAATTGCGAGGGTCCCGTGTGCAAGTTGCACTTGTTAAAGATCCCTTGTGGTCCTAAAATCGATAAGAGTAGGCTTCGGCCGCCACCTGGGCAAAATTCAAAATTCCTACCCAACTGAAAATGTTGAATGTGTCCCGCGCGCTCATGTGACCGTGTGCAGTTGCGAGCGCCGCAAAACACTTACCAAAATCTATCTATCTATCTATCTATCTATCTATCTATCTATCTATCTATCTATCTATCTATCTATCTATCTATCTATCTATCTATCTATCTATCTATCTATCTATCTACGTTTGACGCACTAGTGTCCGTGTCGTGGTTATATTATACGTGTGCTGCTGTACTTCCCGCTTTTAGCAACGATTACTCGCTCTGCTTTTCCTGCTGCTTGTCTTTTTCGTCTTTGCTTGTGAAGCAGAAACATCCCTCGATCTCTCCGTGTAAGCAGTTTCCGACACTTGGAGACTGGAGAATGTCCGCTTTACCTCGCAACCTCTTGCTTGTTAATGGGGAGAAGCAGCAGGTGTTTTGGGGGGGGGGGTTGTGGGGGGGGGTTTAGAGAGGGTTTTTGGCGGGCTTTTAGCGGAGGAAGCAACAGGCGGTTTTAGAGAGGGTTTGGCGGGTTTTGTGGAGATCTTTTTTTTTCTAATTTATTGTGGAAGGTTAGGCTGGTGGAAGGGAGGGTGACGGAGGGAAGGGGGTGTTTTTTGTGGTTTTTAAAAAAGTAATTTTTTATTATTATTTTCATCAATTTTTGGGGTCCTAATAAATTTTAAACCACCGCTGGGAAAACCGTCGGATAGGCAAACAGGTTGCAGAGCTGATGCTGCGTGCCGGTCACTCAACGAGAAGGTCTTTTTTTTTTTTTCGCTCATTTTTTTTCTTCTTTAAATTACCTCTACCTTTATTCATGCCTTCCCCACCAGACTTCGCTGGCAAGTCTGTCAGTGTTCTGGCGCGTGGGTGACGTCGTGCAGACTTGGACGAGTAATTGATGTTTTTGGGGCTGTTGTTTTTTCCTTCTTTGTCTGCGTATTGTTCTTTTTCGATATCGCATAGAGTGCTTACTTTTTCTATCTATCTATCTATCTATCTATCTATCTATCTATCTATCTATCTATCTGTCTATATCTGTCTATCTATGTGGGTGGTTGGCGGGTGCTCTGGTGTGGTTTGCTCCTTCTTTCCTATAAAAAATCTATCGTCCCTCTCTGCCCTCCTTCTTTTTAATGTTTGTTACTCTCTTGTAACACCTCTAATCTTCGGCACTTATATGACCTTATTGTGTTGCAAGTGCCGTAAAACTCTTACAAGAACTAAAGAACTGTCTATCTATCTATCTGTCTATCTATCTATCTATCTGTCTATCTATCTACTTGCCTACCTACCTACATCTGTCTGTCTGTCTGTCTGTCTGTCTGTCTGTCTGTCTGTCTGTCTGTCTGTCTGTCTGTCTGTCTGTCTGTCTGTCTTTTCTCTATCTCCCTTCTCTCTCTCTCTTTCTCTCTCTCTCTCTCTCTCTCTCTCTCTCTCTCTCTCTCTCTCTCTCTCTCTCTCTCTCTCTCTCTCTCTCTCTCTCTCTCTCTCTCTCTCTCTCTCTTATTCCCTTTCGTTTTCTTTTCCTCCCATTCAGTGCAGTTTATGAAAACGTTTGTTGGATGGCACGAGCTTCCATCTTGGTGAACGTGCATAAGTTGCTATTATTACCCACAGAATTCTATAAATAAGTATAGAATTCTGTGCTATAACCACAATGTGTTCCTTGGCTAATATATATGTACACGTTTATCCTTGGTGCGAAAGAACGAAACGAAAATCCGGTGTGATCACCTGTGAATTACGGTTGTCTTAGTAATACAAAGGCTTTAGTGTGTAGTTTTATTAGAGAGAGAGAGAGAGAGAGAGAGAGAGAGAGAGAGAGAGAGAGAGAGAGAGAGAGAGAGAGAGAGAGAAGGTGGGGGGGGGGGAGTAAGAAGTGATATAAAATTACTCAGTCTCATTCCGTATGTCGTGCACACACCCGTAGTTTAACATACGTGCCATAGATTTTTCTACCTTGAAATTCCTTTCCGATGCGACGAGTTGCTTTAAATTGCTTTTTGCATTTCTAGCACTTCTTGCACCATCCACCTTTTGCACTATTAGGATTGGTGGTTGGCATGTCCTGCGGTGTAGTTTGTTTCTTCTAATTCCTATCGAACTTTGATCGTCCTTATCTCTTCTTCTTTCTTGTGTTTGTTACTCTCTTGTACAACCTCTAATCTTCGGCACTTTTGTGACCTAATTAGTGTTTTGAAAGAACCGTAAAGCTCAAACGACCCCCC